CACGAGAGTGAATTTAATGTCATTAAGGGCTGAAGTTTCCTGGTTTCGTAGCCGGAGCTGGTTACGCTGCGGGGTTTCCATTATCCGTTCCCGTATGACCGGCTTTTGGATAAATGTAATTAAGCCGCGATCCGGAGTGGCCTAATTGCGCAACTTATTACCTCGTCGAATTGTACTCACTCCTCTTTGCCGTAGTTTAGCCGAGTTATAGTTAGTCGTTGATCTACGTAACTAATTGATCTGTCAGAGCTGGATAAGAGAATGTATTTTAGCTTCTGTTCTAATTGATTTAACTATTATTGGCATTAGCCAATAATATAAAATAACAAAAATAACATTTGATAAAATGTACTAACTTTAAATAAGAGAACATGCTTACTGTATCAATAATTTTACGCTGATCCATATTAAGTTTAAAATAGAAAATGGATATATTTTAAATTAAAAAATGTAATTAAAACACGTAAATATCAAGTAGTTGATCCGTACAATGAATCTAAAATTTACGTTTCGATATCTGAAAATATCTGTCTATAAAAAGCTTTCTAGCAGATAATGATTTTTCCTAGAATGAAGGACGGGAATTGGAAATGCAAAAAAAAAAAAAGAAAGATATACAGATGAAGAAATAGAGCGGGCAAAAAAAGTCCATCATGAAAGAATTATCCGTGAATCATTTGGAAAAGTTTAGCGGCATGAACCGAGCGAGAGAGTCCTCGGGAAAATCAACAATAAAGTCTGTAGAAGTGAAATTATATAGGACGGCAAAGTCCAAAGATTTTATCAGCCTTTTATTTTGCCCTTAAAGAAAAATGCCTGACAATAAGTTGTTATTTACCATCAACATTTTTCACTTGTGCAACAAAATCGTGCATTTTCCATAATGTTGTTCGCGATCGATGTTTTTGCCTTGACATAGAGAATCGATGTACTTTAAAAAAGCATTATAATAATCGATATTTTGCGATAGACAAGCTCCGATTAGAAAATAATTCCAAGTATTCACAGAAGAAATAACATATTTATCATTCTCAATTTTCATCGCAAAATTAAATCAACGATGCGTATACATATGCATGTAATTAAGAATTAACTTTGTTTTGCAATTTATCGCAGATCTTTACCTTTCCATACTACATAGTCGCACGGATGGTCAAACAGGAAGTTCTGGAAGCTGTTGCAGTCCGGATCGACATGCGGCTCCCTGCAGAGGCACGTCGGTCGGAAGTAAGTGAAAGCCTGTAGGGTGCGCAGAGCCGCTTGACACTTAGTCACCGTCACCGTCGAGCAAGCCACTGCAACCGCGAAATTATTATTAAAACGACGCAGCGATGTTTCGGCCGGGTATGACAAATTACACGTGCGAATTTTATCACGCGATAACGGCTATCGTGCACGAATTGGCGTGACAGCATAACATATAAGCTTCATGTGACTCTAATAGCACGCTAAATATAAGTCGTCGTAATACTAGAATTTATGCACAGAGTATTTTATCTGTCGAGAGAAGCTTATATATACTATGTTTATGCTTTTAAATTGATATGTATGCACGGGATGATTTTAAATTGCGAATGTGCAAGCGCGAAAAACACAATATAATAACGTTTTTTCGCATAAATATTATTTACAAAAGAGACTTTGTTCTGCGAGAGATTGTTGTACAATGCGATGAAGCGAGATTTCCGCGGAGTGATTAATTTCTCTATAGATAGTTCTGTTCTCGTTCGCTCTCCATTTTCATGTTGATCCGATTGGTTTTATCGGCAACAATCCAAAATCATGGAGCGTACGAATAATTCGTTAAATTTTGTCTATGGCCATATTGAAATAAAACTAACAAATAACATGTAACGAAAACAGATCAAATTTATGAGCAATTATAAATACAAAAAAAAAACAAATATTAAAATTTTAGTGATATGTTTATGAAAACATGTTATATTATTACTTAAGCATAATAATTATAATTATAATAATTTTAAATAATAACGTATTGTGTAGAAAGTGACCAGCTATGGTAAATGTATAAATACAATATGGAAATTTCGGATTGTGTCGAATGTCCGCACATGGTTGTTGAATTCAAAATAATCATGAAATTTGGACAAAAGTAATTATGCAACGCTCGAGTAGATTTATCAATAATATAGTGCCATGTTGTAATGTAACAGTAACAATTATTTGCTATGGCACATGTTTGTGCAATAATCGTGTCGCAACTATATGATGACATTAATGCGAGTATTACACAATGTTTACAATATGATTCTTTAAATTTATTTATTAATTAATAAAAAAAAATTCGTCTTTACAAACTTATTGTTTATTAAAAAAAAAAAAAGAAATACGTGCAGTAGAAAAGTTAAAAAAAATGTCCATTTTTTCTTTTTTTCTGTATGTATTTTCTTTTGGTATCTAAAAGCTAAGTTTTTACTTGCATTCACAATTATTAAACAAATATTTGCAATTTGTTGATTTTAATTGTGATAAAGATTGATTGTGAGTAAGCACATCTAAATGTATTAAGATTATGAAAAAAGTTTCACAAAGATCTGTACAGTAGCATAAATAACTAGCTAGAAATATGATTAAAAATACTCTGTTTAACGATCCATATTAATATTTTAAATATATATAGGTATTACGCAATATATTTTTTTGTGTTTTTTTACTATATCTCCAAAAGAGTGGCTTTTCTAAAAGATCTCCAAGCAGTGAGTAGCTCGGGTACCTCGAGTTCGCTATGCCCGTACTCATTATTATGAGTCCCTGAAGGAAAGTTTATTCAATGACTACGAATATATAATATGCATACTATTTTCTCCCTTCACTTTTTTTACATAATCAATAATTTTTTATGAAACATTATATTTTTCGGCGCGACTAAGACGATGTTCTAAACCTTTTCTTTTAAAACAGACTAAGGACTTTATTCAAGATTCCGGCTTAATTAGTATAACGTCATTCAGAAAAAAAACGGAAGTGAGAGAGCGTCTTAATTGCTATCCCAAGACACCGTAAGTTTCGTAATAACTGAGCGGTGCCAGACTATAAGTAATGAATCCAGATGTTGGCGTTACCGTCGACGTCGACGTTGTCGTCGTCGTCGTTGCCGAATGTCAGACAGAAAAATGACGGAGCAGCAGTGCAAAAGTTTCAATTTCATTCTGATGTTATCACCTGCCGCTTCTTCGTTCCCTTTTTTTAATTCATTCCGCCTTTTCCAATGTTAAACCCCATTCCAGACCATCCCATCCTTGTACCCACGTTTCTTCATTAAATACGAAGCCCGGGCACTTAAAACGGAACACCTCCGGTAGTTTGCGAGTCAAAAGGAAAAAAGTTTTTGCGAGAAGTTTCAGGGGCTAATATTGTGACAGGGGGTAATATCTTATCGGGTCAGCTGTTCCGAGTCTTCTCGAAAGCAATATTAATTTGCATCAGTCTCCCACAAATGAGACTGATTGCGTGATTCCCAAAGCGACGGTTAAAAGTGGCAGATGGAGAACTAAGAAATTTTATGAAAAAAGAAAATTACTACTAATTAATACTTTAAGATTGTACATAAGTTAATAGAACTTTATTATCTTGATACGGCAATTGCATTTAAAAAGTAAAATCTAAAAAAGGTTTCTGAAAAAATTTTTGTAAATAATATTAGTCAAATATTGTTTTAAATATTGTTACAAATAGAAACTGTATATGTGACTTTGTGTTTTGTTGAAAAATAACAATTATCCCGCATTTACATACATTTTTATCGATTTTACATATACACAAATACACACACATACATATAACTAGAAATTCGTCTAAATAAAAAATACTGTAATATAACCAATGGATTACTACATAAATAATAATAAACTGCTAATTTATTAAACTGCTAAAATAAATACTGGCGAAAATAACCATTTATTGCATTATATATGTATTAATTAATAAAAAATATATATTAATTTAAAAAAATAAAAATATTTAAAGAAATTAATAGCAGAAAATATATTAAAAAAACTGAATTGTGTAAATGTATGTGTGTTTTTGCAAACTGTGAAAAGCATTATATATTAACAAATTATCAAAAACGTATAATTGGTGATTAAATCGCTCTTTCACTTTTTCTATAATTTTTAAGATTATTAAAAAAATTCGGTTTCCATTGTTTGTGAATATTCTTGGATATTCCCAGTTTTCATAAGGATATATTTATTAAAGCGAAAATATATTATGCATATATACGCAGACAGATATGGAGAAAAAAGTCGAAACGGGACAAATGAACTATCGGTCAGAAAAGTCTAGAAACAGACTTTTCATTCTCGCGCAATAAAAGCGAGAAAATATATGTATGTGCAAAAGTAGTTTTGAATTTGGCGCTTGACTATCACTTGCAGGCACGTACCTGCATCTGTCTCTGACGTGTTCGTGTTTTCGAATAACTGTAATAATTGCACCAAAATTTATCGCAATATTACATATCGTACATTATATACATAATAATTTTAAACTTATTTGTATTGGATAAGCAAAAGTTATGCATTTTAAAAACGATTTTGCAAAATTAACTTTACCAATAAAGTTTTTTAACTAATAACAAAACTAGCTGATATACATATAATAAGAATAATTAACTAATACGTAAATAAACATATTTGTCGTGCGCAAAAATTTACAAATGTTAATTTTAATATGCGCAACAAATTTTTAATTATTTAAGATATTATTTTCTCCACAAAAGTATTTTATAATAATTGTATTAATTATAATTTAATAGATGTATTATATCTGTCTTTAAATTAATATGTTTTTTCAAAAATTATTATATGACATTAAAATATTGCGATATTTATGTATGTATATTATTAAATTCTGTTTCTAATATAAGTTTCTCTCTACATAGTTTTTATGTAAATTTTAATTTTAATTCTTTGCTCCTTTCGTATGAGACAAATTATACATATCTTTTTTATAATTCCAAATATTTATTAATTAATTTTTCTTAATTGGATTATGTAGATACAACGCGATATCAACAAGAGTTAAAAACCGGAACAAAAATTTCTTGCTGAGGAAATGTTTAAAATTAATATAAGGCTGGACTCATCCCGCGAGGTCCTGCTCCGCTTTAATTATCGGGATGTGTATCCGTGAACATCCTGCGGTGATGAACGGCGACCGCGGCTCCATAAAAAGGGCGAGTGTTCCAGAATCGTTCTACCGTGAGCCATAATTCATGGATGGGAAAAAACAGTATCGGAAAAAAGTGTGTCAGAGAAAGAGAGAGAAAGAGAGAGCTGTTGGGAAAAGTTGTAGTCTCCGCGCCGAAACTGACGATGCGTATTCTCTTTTCGCGGGCACGCGCTATCTTCCTCCCGCACCGTCACCATTGTACTCGAGGGTTGTGCATGCCGCTTTGATATAACAACGTACATTGTACTTCCGAACAATGCTATCCTTCTGTCAGCCTATACAACCATCCTCCCTGCATCCCCGCCGTTTCCCACCTTATCGTGCGGCGGGAGCTCGTCCCATTTTTCGAGCCAGGCTTTTTGGAAGAATAAACGACATCACGATTGACAGTTAAGGAGGGTGCGAATAGCTCGTGTCATTTCAAACAAGCACCATAAAATCGAAAAATTGATGAGCTAACCTTGAGAGTCACTTATTTATTTTTTTAAGAAACTGTTTTCATAATCCAATATAATTTTTTGAGATAATTATCTCATTCTCGAAGAACATTTTTAATATTATATGACAATTTATTTCTCGTAAATTGAAACTGGAAACTTGGAATTGAAAATTGGGAATCATTAAAACAAATATAAATATAGAGCAAAACTGTCTCAGATGTTTTAATTATTGCAATCTTAATAACTCGACCATTAGATGTGCAATGAGCTAACAAAATTACTTGAATGTAAAATAATGAATTAAGAAAAGTATGCCAGAGAGGAAGGAAAAGTGGCTGTTTCTTTAGCATTAGCGATGCCAAAAGACGACGAGTAGCAGCTGCTCACTCAAAAACTCGCTCAGCCTGATGATGCCGGATTTCAAAGTCCACTCAGAACGCGCGGCCCTTTAACTCTCGCGAAAGTACTGGGTCAAGAATTTTTCTCGACCCTACGGTAATGGCTGCCACATTACTCACTCCTCGTGAAAGTTTTGCCGATTAGGTGGCACGCATTATTCAAGAATTTTTACAATTCTTCACGCCAAAGTGAAATTATCTTATTTATATTTTCTCGCGTAAAATATTATCATCAACACAGATTATATTTATATCAATATTTTT